TTTTTTTTTTTTTTTTAGGGGAGCGTTTTATTTTAGTAGTATTTATTCAGTAAGCATTATGCTATCAGAAAGAATGGATGGAATCCTAGGTCGATCTATGTTTGCAGGTAATTTTATAATATTTGAACACCGGAAGGCTGAAATTATTTAAATTTGAAATTATTTTTGTTTCAGGTGTTACAATATTGGAATTGCTTATTTCAATGTTTTGTATTTCGAATGCTTTAATTGTGTGTCATTCATTTATTTCTATTATTATTACATACATGTTATTTTCAAACCCCATTATCATATCCAGTGGTCTATTTGTGTATGTCATATTGATAATAATTATTTCATGGATAGGATTTCTCTTCGGTGTGTATTAATAGTAAAATAAATATGTATTAATTTATGATATTATGTTATTGATAATTATAATTAAAAGCTATTCATTGCTTTTCACATCATTGGGGTGTACGTATTTACACACAATACTTAATGTACAGCTGTGTACACAAAATGTACAGCTACAGCAAAACTACGTAATTTTAATCACAATTTCTAAACTATTTTAGCATTTTATATTTTCTTTTTGAATATTTATTAACGTTTAACTATTTATAACTAACTAAAAAATATTTTTTAAAACCTTTTAGCATTCATGTAAAATTGAATGTTATTTTATCAAATATAATTTATAACATTAAATCTATGAATAATTTTTTACAGTAGGGAGGCATAAATTTATATATCATTAAAAAAATAAATCTTTGWTAAAATTTCTTAGCTAAACAACACCTATTATTCTAAATTAAACATTGTGCATATTTTTTCAAATATAATTTATGTAATAGTTTATCACACATACAAACCTAGTTTTTTTTTAAATTTAGCTTTCAGTATACAACTGTTAACTAGTTTAAATTCTACTTATTTATATTTTTATAATATTTTGTTGATTAATCTACAGAAGAAATATTAATATAAATATATATAATTTTTTTTTTTTTGATAATAGGTTTACTTGCTGCTGGAATAACACCAACTAAATCTGGTGGGGTTCATATTATGAATGGTTGGGCCCTATCTCAGATGTTATTATCAGGTAAAGAATCAAATTTTGTTGTCATGTAAAGTGAAGTAATAAATACAAATGTAAATAATATTATTTATACTATGTACAGGTGGGGTATGGCCAATTGATGGACAAGCAAAGTTATTAAGATCAGTATCTGAGTTACTTCCTATGAGGTTAGCCGGGAAGACGATGAACGACATAACATTAAAAGGTTGGACAATGGATCATCCATCTGTCATAATGGGTACTACAGCGACGTTTGCTCATGCCGTTTTACTATTATTAATTTTAATTGTTCTAAGTAAAGTAAAAAAAGACATGTGGGTTATACATAAATAATATCTTAATTAAACAAATATTTATTGTATTTGTTATTAAGATCCTCGTAGCCCTTGCTTATCGTATGACAAAAATTGTTAATATTGTATGATATTTATATTATTTAAGAAATATGCTCA